TTTCTTTTTTGAGACAGTGTCTTACTCTGTCATCCAGGCTGGAGCACAGTGGTGCAATCTTGGCTCCCTGCAGCCTCCACCTCCCAGGTTCAAGCGATTCTCCTGCCTCAGCCTTCCGAGTAGCTGGGATTACAGGTGTATGCCACCATGCCTGGCTAATTTTTTTTTGAGATGGAGTTTTGCTCTGTGCCCAGGCTAAAGTGCAGTGGCGGGATCTTGGCTCACTGCAACCTCCGCCTCCTGGGTTCAAGCGATTCGCCTGCCTTAGCCTCCCAAGTGAGTAGCTGGGACTACAGGCGCTTGCCACCATGCCCAGCTAATTTTTGTATTTTTAGTAGAGACAGGGTTTCACCATGTTGGTCAGGATGGTCTTTATACGTGTCTCTTGACCTTGTGATCCGTCCGCCTCAGCCTCCCAAAGGCCTGGGATTACAGGTGTGAGCCACCGCCCCTGGCCTAATTTTTGAATTTTTAGTAAAGATGGGGTTTCACCATATTGGCCAGGCTGGTCTTGAACTCCTGACCTCAAGTGATTTGCCTGCCTTGGCCTCCCAAAGTGCTGGGATTGCAGGTGTGAGCCACCGTGCCTAGCCACTGTCTAGTTCTTTTCCCTTTCACATTCAAATCGTTTTGGGAAAAAGTAATAGTAAATCTCTAATGTGGGGTCTGAATTACTTAAAGTCAAAATTTTTTGGATTTATTTTTAAATGACTCTTGCCCAAGTTGCCATGTAGGGAAGTTGTACATTTATTTTAACTATGCATCCATCCGTTAAATTACTTCTATAGGTTCTTTTTTAGAATTGCTTCACAGCCAGTTTTGGAATTACAAAAGAAAATTAGCCTCCTTGCTTTCGTTTATACATTAAAAATCTCATCTTTTTAAAACAAAATGAAGACACATTACTTTCTCAATTGACTTCATATTAATATTTTATTAACTTATGAAGCCTATGCAGCTGTTATGCAGTTGAACTTATGACTTCTAAGATAATAAATTATTTTGTACAACAAATCTGTGAAGAGCAAGAAACATTGTATAACTTTGTGAAATAATAGATTAAAAAAAACTAGGCCAGGTTCAGTGGCTCACACCTACGATCCTGACACTTTGGAAGGCTAGATGGGAGGAGGACCACTTGAGCCCAGGAGTTTGAGACCACCCTGGGTAACATAGTGAGACTGCCTCTCTTTAAAAAAAAAAAAAAGCCAGGTGTGGTGTTGTGCACCTGTGGCCTCAGCTGCTTGGGAAGTTGAAGTGGGAGGATTGCTTGAGCCTGGGAGATTGAGGCTGCAGTGAGCAGAGATTGCATCACTGCACTCCAGCCTGGGCTACAGAGCGAGACCTTGTCTTGAAAAACAAAACAAAAAGAAAATACCAAACTGTTGAGACCTGGGTGACTACCCCCCACCTTTAAAATTTGCATTTTACTTGAAATTGAGTGCGCATTGTGCTTTCCTGCAGATGAAAGTTATGGTGTGCCAAATCTAAAGGAAGCACTGTACCTTTGTGGAAGGAAAGAAAACCATCTGGTACCAGAAAAAGGCCAAAAGTGGGCTCTTTTTTGTAGTAACAGAATGAAAGCTAAGAGTCCATATTTAAAATATGATCATAAAACTATTCTTATTTTACAGTTTTTGGCATAAGAATAGACATGTGTTTTGGATAATATACCTAATTTTAAAAGTCGAGATATGCCTCTTTGAGAGAAGTAGTTGAAGCACACTGTTGATGTTTGTCGTTAGAACACATGTAAGTTTTATTGTGAAATAAATGAATTATTTGTTTTAGGACGAGTCTTCGTGTCTTGGCTTCCGTGACTATTAAAGGCTTTTATTTTGTTCTGTAAGCCAGTGTTTTAATCTGTTCTGTATAAAGATCCCTTTTTGTTTAGTATCATAAATATGTGGGTTTTTAAAGTTTGTTTTTAAAAAATCTTTTCTTTCTTTTGTTTCTGCATTTTTTAAAGCTGCACATCATTGACTCCTGGGCCCAACTGTGACCGATTTAAACTGCACATACCATATGCTGGAGAGACATTAAAATGTAAGTAAACGATGACTATTTTACTCAAAATGTAGGTTACAGTGTCAGCTATTGGACTTTGTGCTTTAGTTTTCATTTCCGGCTGTTAGTTGTTATCCCCTAAGATATTGATCACTAGCATTTACCACTTTTCTTATCTGTCATTCAATTCTAGTTTGATTAAAAGTAAGGCAGTTGGCAGGGAATAAGTTGTAGTTAAATAGGCATGCACAGAAATTCCTAATTTTTAGGCGTGCCCAGTAATTTTTATGTGTTTTTTTTCTTTATAGGTGGCTTTTATGTAATACTGAATAAAAAGTCCACTGCTTTAGAATACCTGGCCATTTAGAAACAGTTTTTAGGTAGGAGTGGCTGCTGTCCATCACTGCCGCTAACCCCCCTCTGGAACTGCTGTGCCACGACTTGTCACTGATCTATTTCCTGTTGTTACCGAAGTGTAAGAGTCCTGCCTCAAAAACTCTTGGCGTGGCTTAGGCATATCAACATGTTATCTCCTTTAAAGCAAGGATCAGAGATACAAATGGTCTACGAGGGTTAGATTGGTAACATAGTAAGGGAAACAGGCTAGGTGTGGCAAATTGGGACACCCTGTCACTTAAGGGGAGTGCCTCTACTGATTTATTGCGAGAAGGTGGATGTCTGAAGTTTTATGTGAATTCTGTCAGTTTTAGATGTGGCCACTTTTTCAAAATTAAAAACATGGTGTGGGCCAATATTATGCAGGCTAAACCTAACGTGTCTGTGGGCTGGCTTGAGTTCCTGGACCACAAGTTTTTTTATCTTGGATGGATAGTATGGAAGATCTGTCATTGGACTTAGCCCACTAGCTGCAGCAGCTGTCTAGGCTGTATCAGCTTTTCTCTGTCACTATTACAATACTTGTGGCTTTGGTTGGTTAGTGTTGGTAATCTCACCAGGAATTTTCTCTCTTGAATCTACACTTGTGGTGAACAGCCTATTAAAGTTCTCCTATTCTTAAAAAGAAAAGTAGAGAACATGGATATTAAACATGGGATAGATGGATAAACGGCTTTTTGGCCTGTGGACCAGTGTGTTTTACCATTACATGCCAGGAGGGGCCACAACTCTGTGTAGTATTTTGTATTCTTAGTACTGTATTCTGTAGGATCACTTGATACTAATTTATCAAATGCCACATTAAATGAGAAATGTTGGACATGCTGACTTGTCAGCCTTGCATTACTAGACCATTTTCTGGAAACCATTAAAATATAAAATAATTTTACCTGTCTGAAGCAGTAGGACAGATTTGATTGCTACTTTTTTTTTGAAAAAATTATTAACTAAATTTAAAAGAAATGATCAAAGTAAATAATTCATGTGGTTAAAAATGTAAAAGTACTGGAATTTTTTGATACATGAAACCAGTAGTCTTCTCTCCCAGTCCAGTTTCCTGAGAGAATCATTTGCAGATTCTAAAAATTTTCAGTTTAGCTCTCGGGGATGATCTCGATATCTTTAAACAATATACTTTTGCCTCTATTTCTTGCCTTATCAGTTTTAGACATTGTTATTTTTTGACTTCCTGTGCTGATACATGAAGCATCAGCCTATTTTTCCTATACCCCTTAACTATTTTTTCTTTTCCTTCTTAATGTAATTATATCACCATTATTGGTTCCTGTGTTGGTTACCCTGTAGCTTAAAAATTTTTACTTACTTTTTTTAATGGATCACTTTACACGTTGTATTACACAGTTAATGAATAGCCCCTAAGAATTCTTAGTAAGTACGTGGTACACAGTTAGCTTTGTTATTACTTAAGGACAATCTCTATGCAAGAATGGTGAACATTTAGGGTAGTATACTCTTTAGTTTTACATTAATCATAGATACTGTGTCTTTTGCCTCTGCATTTTGTAAGATGAATATATTAGCCCCTGCCCTTCCTTCAATTCCTCTTCCTTCAACTCCCAGCTTTTGTCTTCAGTTATTTTCCTTTTGCATTTTCAAGATTGATAACTTACTGTCTGTTCTAAATCTGTAGTTGTCTTCTGTGCCTTGTCTATAAATTGCTTGAATGATTGCTCTGGAGGCCTGTTCCTGCATGATTATCACTGTGAGATTTGCCTTTATTATTATTTTGAATTTGACCTTGTTTTGTAGAATCTATGTATCATAGATTCTATGTTTTGTAGAATGATTTTCTTGATAAACAGGTTATCTGCTTATCTTGCTGGAACTCATTCTCAAATAACTTGCTCAGATTCTGTTCCTCCCTCTACCCTTCTGCCTTTCCTTTAGCCCATCTGATAATTTTTTATTACTACAGTCACAATTAGGTATCTTAATTTCTAAGAACTCTTTCTTGCACTGTTTCTTATTCTCAGCATCTTCTTATTTTATGAATATACGTCCTTTAAAATCCTTCAAAAAATAAAATTTGGAGATTTTTTAAAAAAAAGTTTTCTTCTGTTATCTGAATTATTTTAATTTTTCCTAGGGATTATATTTTTGTTTGTCATATTTTTCCCTCTTTTATTCTATAGGTTTTCTTCAAATAAAAGGTATTCATTTATGTTTAAGATAGACAATAAAATACTGAATGGGACTTCTGAGTAGGTGAGCAAGGCTTATGGAATGTGTGGATGAATGATGGGCCAGATGTGAGTCAACTGTTCTAGCTCTCCTCACATAGTTTGTTCTGTTTCTTCAGTGAATACCTGGGGATACATACCTGGTCACCCTGTCGTTTCCGGGGGGTGGGTAGATAGACTATTCCGTGAGGAGCTTTTGCTTACTCTCCCTGTTCTTAGCCGTGTGTCTCACTCTTGCCTCCCCTTAACATGGGATAACTACCAACTTTTATGGGTTTAATTAAGACAAATGACTTCCTTCCTCGTCTTCCTCACATTATTACAGGCCAAAGCTTTCCTCTGCCCTATCTTGTCAAGTACTACACTTCCATCTGCATTCTATCTCTAGCAATTTGCTAAACTTTCTCATTTACTGATTACTCTCTTCCCTTCCTCTTCATCTTCCTGTTGTTTGGGATTTTATCTTTCTGTATTAACTATCATTTAATGGGATTGGAGGGTGGGTCTTAGAGAAGAAATAAGTGTATGTGGTCAGTCCACGGTCTTGAGACAAAAATAATGTGACTTCACAGACATCTTTCTAGTAGTATGGGTTTATGTTGGGAAGCATTTGCTGATACCCTATGTCCTCTCATTACTATAAGCTCTTCATGGGAAGCCTTTAATAACATTTGTGATTAGTGTATTAGGTCTGTCACTCATCATATAATATAATTATGTTCTAGCAAACTGTTGTTGAATATTGTCATTATACATTGGGGACTTAGTTTAGCCCACAGTATGTTCTATAATAAATAAATAATAAGTGAGCATTGTATAATGGCGATTCTTATGCTAAAACAAGTCAAGATTCTAGTGTTAAGCAGCTCACAGCCAAATAAAAGGCAAAGGTAATTGACCATGGAAACTATATTTATAAAAGTTCGTAGAATTAGAAAGATGAGTTTTTTTAAAAAACACACATATATATGTGTATATATATAACATACACATATATACACACACATGCGATCTCGGCTTACTGCAACCTCCACCTCCCAGGTTCAAGCAATTCTTCTACCTCAGCCTCTGGAGTAGCTGGGACTACAAATGCCCACCACTACGCCTGGATAATTTTTGTATTTTTATTAGGGACAGGGTTTCACCATGTTGACCAGGATGGTCTTGATCTCTTGACCTTGTCATCTGCCCGCTTCAGCCTCCCAAAGTGCTGGGATTACAGGCGTGAGCCACTGCACCTGGCTGGTTT